GAATTTTGTACCTTTACTTAATGCGCATGCGTGCTGCCTCGGCCCGCTCCTTTCCTGTGAGCTAAAAGCTCAGCTAACAACAACTTAACAACAAGTTAAAGCTGGATTGTGGATAAGAGTTGACAGATTTGACGCCAAGCGGGACCGCTTCATCTAAGAGCTCCACATCAGTCGCTGAATGGACCAGAACCGAGTCAACGATGTCGGACATTACTCAGTGATAATCAGTAGCTGATTTACAGCAGGTAAATCAAATGTTCTTAATAATGTTTGCTTGTGTTTGCTTCGGTTACAAAACAACAAACTGAGTTTTTATTTTTTCCTGAAACAAGAAGAAGCTGTCTCCCACCAGGCGGACTGGTTCTGAACGAGGCTCGGCCCAGGTGCAGTGCAGGAGGACGTCGAAGAGAGAGATGTTGGATGAACTATTTATTTAAAATTCCCCTCAGTTCTTTTATTCAATTCATTTAATGTTTTAAGCTGAATTAATCCAAGCAGTGACAGCCTGAACGAGCCAGATGAACAACGTGGGACATCCAGGATGAAAACAAGAGTCCAGTTCATTAACGCAGTTTACAGTTAACGTGTTTTTTATGTGTTCAGTTTAATTATCAGTGTTTGTGTGACATACAGTTTATGGTGTTGAATAAATAAATAAAATAAAAATTAAACCTGATGTCTTCATTTTCAACTTTAATAACACGCAATATGTTTAACATCATTGTAATCACATAATTTGAATTACATAATGTCCAGATAGCTTCATTTAGCTAAGAGAGCTTCATTATATATCTCAAACTAAAGATAAGTACTGTTTATTATTATTAAACTTGTTATTTAGCACATTTAGTATGTTATAGTGCAGTGCGACGTGTGCGCATGCCTCGTTCTATAAACAGCGATATTTGAACTGGATCCAACTGTGTCTTTTCCAACACAGATGTTTGTCACAGCACCTAGAATCTGACGTAGATTAACTACGAGATTAAAAATATATTCCATCAGTCGTAGTTCTGAAAGCAGTGTATCCGCCGACATGTTGATAGAAATATAGCGTCTGTCCGTGCGTGCGTGTGCGCATATGGTTTAATACAAAGCCTCAGCGGGAGATGTTTACATTATCAGCAGGGTGTCAGCAAAAAACCTCCACTCTGGAAGGTGGATTCAGAAATCTCCGGATTCAACAGGGGGGCCACTGGTGTTGTGTAAATGATCAACAGAACTGCAGAGAGAAAGGAGCGGATTCACTCAAAATGTGCGCCGTGTAAACGGCCCCATAGTCTCTCCAGCATGTCCAGAGTCTTCCCCCAGGGTCTCCTCCCAGTCAGACATGCCCAAAGCACCTCCTTAGGGAGGTGCCCAGGGAGCATCCTTACCAGATGCCCGAACCACCTCAACTGGCTCCTCTCGATGTGGAGAAGCAACGGTTCTACTCTGAGTCTCTCCTGAAAAACTGAACTCCGCACTTTATTTCTAAGAGAGAGTCCAGCTACCCTGTGGAGGAAACTCATTTCAAGGGAGGGAAGTCTGAGATTGTCATTATTGTATGTTCCCATACAATGGCAAAATTAGTTTTATGCATTTAATCCATCACACATGAGATATACCCAGGTGGAGCAGTGGACAGCTATGTAAGTGCCCGGAGAGCAATTAGGGATTAGATGTCTTGCTCAGAGATGCCACGACATGTGGGAATGGTGGAAAATCTAACCGCGACTTTCTGATCCCAAGTCGTCTACCCTACCTCAACCGCCTGCATCTGCAAATCTCATTGTTTCGGTCACTACCCAGAGTTTGTGGCCATAGGTGAAGTTAGGAACATCCATAGGTGAAGTTAGGAACGTAGACCGACCAGTAAACAGAATGCTTCACCTTAAAGCTCAGCTCCCTCTTCACCACAATAAACTGGCACAGAGTCCGCAATCTCTCAGACACTGCACGGCTCCACCTGTCAATCTCATGCTCCATTCTTCCCTCACTCATGAACAAAACCCCGAGATGCTTGAACTCCTCCACTTGAGGCAGAACCTCACTCTTGATCTAAATAGAGCAATCCACCCTTTTCCAACTGAGGATCATGGCCTCAGATTTAGAGGTGCTGATTTTCATCCTAGCCGCTTCACACTCGACTGTGAACCACTCCAGAGAGAGCAGAGGATCATGGCAAGATGATGCCACCAGAACCAAATCATCTTCAAATAGCAGAGATGGAATCCTGAGGTCACCAAACTGGACTTCCTCCACCCCCTGGCTGCACCGAGAACTTCTGTCCATCCTTATTAACAGAATCAGTGACAACGGGTAGCTCTGGTGGAGTCCAACTCCCACCTTGTAGGGGTCCGACCTACTACTGGCAATGTGAACCCATCTCTCGCACGGCTTGTATAGGGACCAAACAGCCCATAACAACGGGCCCCCAATCCCATACTCACGGAGCACAACAATCAATAATCCAGGTAGATAAATCTAACAAGGTTGAGTCAGGTCCTCTGGATGGGTACTGTGGTGTGAACACACATTGTGAGCTCTTCTGGTATTACATGATGTTGTCGCAGTTTGACCAGAATGGATATACCTCCACCTTTTTTATCACAATATATGATACAATGGGTGATATGCATTACTTTACTGGATTATGGGAATTTCATTGTATCATTTTTCTTTTTCCTCTTATTCAAATGATTTTATATTTTGCATGCATCAAATTTTTGATATTTTTATAGTTATGAATACAATGTTGGTCATAGTGACAGTTTTTAAGTAAAGATTTTAATGAACGAGAACAATTACAGATTCAAGTGATCAATACTCAAAAAAAGTTTTTATGAAACATACAGTCCATGCTTCATTTCAGTGCAACGAGGGGGTGACTACCATAGACTAATCTTTGTTGATTTGTTGTTTGCTGCAGGTCAGTCACAGATTTTTTTAGGTTTTTAAGGGTAAACCAAAGGAAACTTGTAAGTAAGACCAAAACTGTCATAGCTTTCTCATTTATTTACCAATCCAGACAATCTTCATGTCAAACTTTTTGCTTTATCAAGATCTATCCATTGCCAGTTTGTAAAGTTAGATTTTTTTTTGTCTCCTACCTACCAGCAGGTACAATGGAGCTTGTTGGATCATTTCAGCAGCTATGAATCCAAGCAATTTCAGTTATCAGTGAGATATCAACAATTTTTGGAATGAGAAAACTACAGCCATATCTGATGTACATTGATAGTTATCATTTTTTGCCCTGCAGAGCAAACGCATAATATTTTATTTTATAAAAAAAAATATGATTGCAGAGGCTAATCTAGGTTTGATTTAGATATTTCCATGGCAAAAGCAGAGGTCAGTAACTGTCCTGTTCTCCCTGTGGGGACTCAGAGTAGAGCCACTGCTTCTCCACGTCGAGAGGAGCCAGTTGAGGTGGCTCGGGCATCTGGTTAGGATGCCTCCTGGACGCCTCCCTGGTGAGGTGTTCTGGGCACGTCCCACCGGGGGGAGACCCAGAGGAAGACCCAGGACATGCTGGAGGGACTATGTTTCTCGGATGGCCTGGAAACGCCTCGGGATTTCCCCGGAGGAGCTTGCCCAAGTGGCTGGGGAGAGGGAAGTCTGGGTCTCCCTACTTAAGCTGCTACCCCCCACGACTCGACCCCGGATAAGCGGAAGAAAATGGATGGATGGATGGATTCATTGCTCTCTTTAGGTCGAGGGTGAGGTTCAGCCTCAAGTGGAGGAGTTCAAGTATCTTTGGGTTTTGTTCATGAGTGAGGGAAGAATGGAGTGTGAGCTTGACAGATGGATTGATGCAGCATCCTTCACCTATGGTCACAAGCTCTGGGTAGTGACTGAAAGAATGAGATTGCGGATACAGGCGGTTGAAATGAGTTTCCTCCGCATGGTAGCTGAACTCTCCCTTAGAGATAGGGTGCGAAGTTCAGTTATCCAGGAGAGACTTGAAGTTGAACTGCTGCTCCTTCACATCGAGAGGAGCCAGTTGAGGTGGTTCAGGCATCTGGTAAGGATGCCCCTTGGCGCCTCCCTAGGGAGGTGCTTTGGGCATGTCTGACTGGGAGAAGACCCCGGGGGAATACCAAGAACATGCTGGAGAGACTATGTCTCTCAGTTGGCCTGGGAATGCCTTGGAATCCTCCCAGAAGAGCTGGAAGAGGTGACAATGAAAGAAATGTCTGGGCCTCCCTGCTCAAGCTGCTGCCCTCGAAACCCGACTTCAGAACAATTGGAAGATAATGGATGGATGGATGGATGGATGGATGGATGGATGGATGGATGGATG